ACAACTATAAGTGAGAAGTCATGAGTTTTCATCCTGACTCTGTCAGGATGAAAGTTTGGATGGCAATCTCTAGACCTCTCTGTTCCTAAGTCCTTTTGTTGATAAGTGTAAAGATTTACTAATCAGAAATTCAAGCCCATAGTTATTTCTCCCAGAACTGTGATCCCTCTGAAGTTTCATGCATAAATTTAATACACATGAACATTTTTCTTGGGAGAACCCACAACCTCCATTTAAATAGTTAAGAATAACTCAGCTAAACAATCATTAAGGTTTCTGACTTTATGTGAGCAAAGTACCAACATTCCATTCCTATATCGTTGTGTTTGGAAGATAAACTTTGGATTTCCATAGATTGATCAGGTGGTTGGTTTATTCATTAATTCAATATTTATGAATGCCTCCTAATGTGCCAAGAACTGGAGAACAGCTGTGAACAAAAACTGACAAAAGGGGCTGGGGATGTAGCTCAGTGCTTGCTTAGCATGTGCAAGGCCTTGGGTTCAATCCTTGGTGCCACACACACACAGACACACACACACACACAACCAGGGCTGGGTGTGATGGCGCACACCTGTAATCCCAGTGACTTGGGAGACTGAGGCAGGAGAACTGCAAGTTCAGAGCCAGCTCCAGCAACTTAGTGGGGCCCTAAGCAACTCAGTGAGACCCTGCGTCTCTAAATAAAATATGAAAAAGGGCTGGGGATGTGGCTCAGTGGTTAAGCACCCCTGGGTTCAATCCCTGTTACAAAAGCAAAACAAAAAAACTCAACAATAACAAACAAAAAACATGACAAAAATCTGTCCTCCATTATGGAACTTAAATTTTGTATGGACAAACAACCTATCTCAGATCACAATAATCTAGATAAAACTTAAAATGTTTCAACGAGTGATGATGGATTCTATGGAAAAAAATGAAAGAACTGGAGGTGAGGACTATTGGAAGTTGGGAGGTGGTTTGTGATGCAAAATAATGGGAGAAAGGAAGGCCTCACCGTGGTGACAGTTGAACTAAAAGATCTGAAGGACATGGGAGGGGAAACCAACGTTTACCTAGGGGAAGATTATTCCAGGTAGAGGGGATAAATATCAAGAGTCTGCAGGGGGAGGAATGCATTTGAAGATCAAGAGGTACAGACTATACGCCATCTGAAGGCACAGTACAAGATCATGATGGTCTAGTTTGGGGTCCTTTTTGGTTAATACAGCTAATCCATCAGTGATGAAAGTGAGTACAGGGAATGGTTGCAGTCCATTCTTGGCTTAACCCTATTTTGGAGACAGGATTGCATCAGGGACTACTGTAATGGAGAGTTCTTCTTTCTTGACAGGCCACAGAGATGCTAGTTCACAATGCCCAGAACCTCATGCAGTCAGTGAAGGAGACTGTAAGAGAAGCAGAAGCTGCTTCAATCAAAATTCGAACAGATGCTGGATTTACACTGCGCTGGGTCAGAAAGACTCCCTGGTACCAGTAGGTACCCAGCCAAACCTGGCTGGTACGGAAACCCCTACTGAAAAGAAGAATAATCCGAGTTCCAGAAGCCATCTGGAATTGCTGGGGGTTGAAAGCCACATCCCAGCCTGACATATGAGAAAGGAATGGGGTCTCTTCACATTATGAAACATTTATACTCTTTGTCATGGACACTTTGAAATGTGTCTCCATATAAATTCTGTATTCTCAAACACAGTTAAACTCATGTATACTCTGTCTCAATAGGTGGACTGGGTTTCTAGTCCATGGACTTCACATAAGCTCAGAATTTAAGAGTGAAAACACTAGCCAGACACCCTAGGGGACATTTCCCTCTTGTTTCCTTTTCACCAGCCAGTCAGTTAAGAAAATCTCTCTGCTTCCAAAAAATTGTTTGGGCTTTCCATGTTGCTGCTGACCCCGCCTGCCCTGGGTTGTGCTACCTGGGTCCTTTTCAGAAGTGAGCTTTGCTGCTGCAGGAAAAGGTAGCCTTTGGGAGCCCCAACATATAGGCCTGGATTCATTTCCTGCCTCTCCCCAATTTAATTCAAGTTTCCACACAGTAGCAAACTTCACTGTCAGGAGGAAATCACAGAATCATGATTCTGTCTTTACTATGCCCCTGAGCAATGTCTGTGCTAGGGAAACTTCTTGTCCCATGGCAGTCCTCAGCCTGCCAAGGTAACCATCCCATGAATACACTGTGTGCCCTGGTGCTCTTTGTCACTAGAGGGGCAGAGTAGCCAGGGTGTGGCCCTGCCCATCCTCCCAGGGGGGTCATGCCCAGGCGTTCCATGCTTTGTCACTGCCTGCAAAGGTCTGTGCTGAGGACTTATCATTCATTCTTAGCTCTTTATTGTTCTTTTTTAAGCTGAAATGCTGCATTTAATTTTTAACCAAATCATGTTCTGGCTTTTGTAGTCTTCCCCTAAACCCTTCCTAAATAAGATTTTTAAATATAGGTAGGTGTTTTTTCTTTTCTTTTTTGGGAAATTGGAGTCTCACTATGTTGCCAAGCCTGGTCTCAAATTCCTGGGTTCAAGGGATACTACTGTCTTGACCTCCTGAATAGATGGGACTAAAGGCATATGTCACTATACTTTGGTTTGTATGTAATTTCGAAAGATCCTTTTTATCCTTTTGAAATTCTGTTCATAAGAATTAGTACTAGACCTCTGAGATTGTCTAATGAAAAGGCAATCCTATTAAAGGACACTTCTATCTAAGGGAGAGTGGTATTTGCAGACTAGAATTTGAATGCTTCTGGGACTAAATCAATGGTAAATACTCCTGGAATTCCTACTTCCCTTCAACCAACTAAACCAAGCCCCTTTATACTCTCCTAAATATAATTGACAATGAGCATAATATTTAATCATCACCATAGTAAATTTCCTATTACGCAAAGTTAAAAGGCAATTCCCCCCCCCCACTTATCACTTCTGCCTAAGCATTCTCCAGCACGTGAACCATTTCTTTCCAAACCCAAAATGAAAAAAGTAAAGGAGTGAGACCCTTTGTCTAAATATGCTTTCCTTTCACCCCCAATGTGTGTTAGATCCCATCATCAAATGTATAGCACTTGTCTTAAGGTGGTCCTGCACACTCAGGCTACCTCTATTTCCTTTTAACTGATAAAATATTATTTTAAGGCCCTCAGCATATTTGTATAATTGCTTACCTGATATAAATGCAATATTAATGCCTTTAAAGTATGAATCTATGCCAAAGATCACCTTTTGTTTTACTGAAGATTACTTAGAAGAAATAAGAAAAATCTTTGTTCTTCAAGTTCTTGAGACACTGGTTTTACACTTTATGCCAGATGTGCTTTTCTCTAACAACAGTGCTCAAGACACAGTGAAGCAAACAAAACAAAACAAATCCCTGAATGGTAGAGGTGTCACCACTTTAAAAAAAAAATACATTTGTAAGCTAGGATTTGTTATATGCAAATATTTTCTGCTTCCTCTTTTTTCTGTTTAAAACAATAAAATGCATTTGTATAAATAATGCTCTAAAGTTGGATGTTATTTTAGTAAGAACTTTTAGGTCAAGTTTTTGCTTTATTTTTGAAGAATAGCCAATTAAACTAATCCTTAAGACCTGGAAACCAAAGAGGTAGAACTCGACAATAGTATTTTAACTTAAGGATCTGTGTGATAAAGGACAACTTTGGGGATTATATACTAGAAGTAGCAGTGACAAAGGTTAACAGAAGGCAGAAAGCAGCCAGATGATACAGATCACCCACTGGTTGAAGAAGTCTTTCATCTTAGAAGATTCTATTTAATAGGAATGACCATCTTAAAAAGCCGAAGTTATTAAATGTGCAGGAGAACCACAAATCCATTTTTTTATATTCTAAAATTCAGCATAGGAAGGTTCTCAAGGACCTACCAGGGCTCTGGGGCAGAACTAGCTTTTGGAGACATATTCCTCTTCTTAAGCCCCGACTAGAACAGTACTAGGAGATTTTTTAAAAAAATTTTTAATTGTAGATGGACACAACATCTTTATTTTTTTAATATGGTACTGAGAATTGAACTCAGTGCCTCACACATGCTAGGCAAGTGCTCTACCACTGAGCCACAATCTCAGCCCACACTAGGAGATTCTTGGACAGAGCTGGGATATAACAGTTTTTGCCTGATTTTTCTAGATCTGCAAAGGTTAAATATCATTAAAGGTTGAAACGTGGGCTGAGGCTGTAGCTCACTGATAGACTGCTTGCCTAGCACGTGTGAGGCACTGGGTTCGATCCTTGGCATCACATACAGAAATATAAAGTCATGCTGTCCATCTACAACTACTAAAAAAAAAAAAAAAGTGATATTTAAAAGTGTTGCTAACTGCATTTATCACTGCTTTTATCACCTACCTACAAAAGCTTCCAACCATACAGGCGGATTCTAGGCTGCCTGAATTAAAGAGAAATGTCCAAGGCTATTAATTAGGGCAGCAATCTCTAACATTGCCCCATTTCTGCTATTTACCGTGTGTTCACTGCTGCATTGTAGTTAGTTGTTTTCACAAATCAGTTGCCTCTAAGGACAATAAGATCAGCACATTCCAAGGGTTCTTCTATAACACTATTTAAGGAATGTACCTACCAGATGAATGCCCTCTGAATACAATGATGGGGACTTCATCACGCAGAAACTAAACATCTACTTTCATTTGCTCTTAGGATATACTCCCTTCACAACTTGGAAAAAGGGAATATTATAGGATTAGCTGGACCTCTGTGCTTAGTAAGTATTCTAATATTACTGAATATTCATGTATATATTAGTAGATGGTAGTGATAAAGAAGGGAATTTTGAATGGCTGTGAACATACTAAGTTAAGGAAAAGAGCATTTGAAAGTGTTTTGCAGCAAACTTTACATCATATATGATGATACAGAAGAAATTCTGATCATGTTCAGCCTGTTGACACTGAACAGTGCCCATCTGGGAACATTCAATTAACAGTTAAGCTTAACAAAAAAAAAAAAAAAAAAAAAAATCAACCTGTTGCTTTCATTTTTTTTATTGACAGTATAGCCAGAGCTATTGAAAGAATTTATTGGACTCTATCAAATTAATAAATACAATAATTTAATTGTAGAAGGAAAAAGTCTACTTGGACATTTTAGCAGAAATTGATAGAGGCAAGGGACTCTTGGCATACATTCTACTTGAATATAAGACAGCACAGGAAGAAAATTGTACAGTGCAGGTATGGACAGTTGAGATTAGGGATTCTGAAGAAAGAGGAAATGTTCTGATTGCTCTTTTGAGGAAAGAACTCTAAGATAATAAAAATAGGACAAGCAATTGAATAAAGCAATATTAGATAAAGGGAATAAATATTTGGCAACATTTTGACTCTAGCTGCCAATCTGAGATTGGTTACTCTACAAATTTATAAGTTGTAAAAAGTGCCATTGTTACTATGTGAAAGGCAGACTGGATGCCCTAGGCAAGCAAAGGTAAGAATGCTACTGTACAATGGGTGCACCAACCACCAGCGCTTGACAAAATAAATGAGATGACTGTAAGATAACCCTAAAGTGGCAGGGAAAAGAGAGTTATAAGCTGAAACAATAAAAGAAAAAAGAATGGAGCCACAAGGAGAAGAAAACTTAATAGCACAAGTAACAACAAAGAAACAGGAAGAGTACTTAAGTTTTAACTTCTAGCCTCCCTTCATTTTTTCATGTCTAACGAGGCAAAATAATTGGGCAAGGACTACTAAACCAATGAAGTTGATGAAATGGTAACAACTACAGACTGACTTTCTAACCATGATGATCAATACGGTATCATAAATGTTACTAAGAATTTTGTTTCTGCCTCAATAAGGTTCTTCCACCTACTGTTGTCAGTATAGCAGATATTAAATTACTGCACTGACCATTGTGCAACAGTTTTAGGAGGGAGTCATCATAATAGCCTTGACATGCACATGGTATGAAATGGAGTTCCCTCTAAAGAAAAGGGATGCACGCATATTCAACAAAAGATAAAAGATTTAAAAAGAAAAAAAAAAAAAACGATAATGAGGCAGGTACATTTTCCTCCTCTTGCTGAACTAGGGCATGAGGCATTTAGGTTAACTGTGGGATAAGTGATGTTGGATAAATCTGTATAAAGCATGAAGATGGCTAAAGTTTCACTTAAGTTTCTCTTTTCTACCTTAATTTGCTTAAAAGCACAAACACTTATGCTTGTAATAACTTCCTGAAAGCAAAAGTATGTTCCCTTTTATTACCATAATAAAGCATTTGCCCCTTTGATACAAATGATTTTTACTGTGCTAACAGCTGAACCGGTGGCACAAAGTCGAGATGGTATTTACTGCAGCAAGGTCCTTGTAAATCAAAATCTTGAGCTTTACATAAAAATCTTATTATAAAAAATACAATACCAAGTACAGTGTGAATGGAGCATGGAGCAGTAGTGCTCCCTGCCAGGGCCATGTGGAAGTGGCTTTTGCTACAGTGCTTGCTTAATGGCACAAGTGAAAAGCTGAATAAGGCAAACACTTGAAGAGGCAGTTTTTGTAAACTTCTTGGGTGGAGGGAATTTCCTCTGTTAGGACAGATAGGACTGGGATGGCTAAGATCAGGAGGTGTGACATTTGGCTGCACCTGACATGTCACATCACTGATTGAGACAGTTCCTGCTGAATAAGACCAATTCACTGGCTTTAGGAGAGCAAGTGAGGTTATCAGTGTAGTTTTCTGCCTTTCCTGTTACAGTGTGCAGCATCCAGCTGGTACCCACCTATGGAAGAAATCACCTCCATAATCTTCCTAAGTGAAAAGATACAAAATAAGCTAAGTCATTAGAAAAGATTCCTTAGCTTAAAGCTCCTTAAGAACCCTACATCAATTACTAAATAACTTTGTTAGTGGTGTATAGCTCAACACAAATGCTTTAACTAGAATATGTATTCCCGCCCATTTGGTACCTAATAGTAAATTGTAATGACACTTGAAAACAAATTGATCTTGTTGAGGAATTTTGGCCTCTTCTCATGTCCTCACTTGAAACTTTCCAGCTTTCGTGACATATTTGACTCCTTTAAATGGCTTATACTTCTCCCCATACATGTCCAAGCGGTTTACTTTTAAGCCTGTGTCATAAAGAATGAAACAAAAAATTGTTATAATTCCAACAATAATATAGTACAATATTTGTTGAGCAACAGGTATTATACTGTAAATCTGACACTAAGAAATATCCCTTTCACTATTTAGAAGCAATGTCTCTTCTGCAATACGTGAATTACTATACTTTGAAGGTATGGATTTAGTTAAGATAACCATGTAGGAGGGAATGTTTTTTTAAGGCTAATTCTGCTTCTGTGAATATGAATGACTCTGTTGATGCTTAAGTGAGGGTGGGGGGTGAAGGGATGCTGTGTAAAATAGGAGCTCTCCAAAGTCCTTGATTCCTGGAGGCTGGCCCTCTAGTACTGTGTAAAAGGCAAACTGACATTTCTGTTCTTTCTATAGTGGGAAATGTTTGTTACTTTTCTAAGTGCCTAATAACTGAGTTCAGCAAAACTTAATTACACTTAAACACAAGTAAAACTTATTCTTACCTGAAATAGCAAGCTGCTGGATCTTGAACTGTATGTTGAGGCTAGGATTCTCTTCTGGCTTGGGTGCTCCAGACTGTAAATTTACCAGTCCTTTAAGACTTGGAAGCTTTTGTGGAGTGATTTTCCCCACATCCCATGTTAATACCTTAAAAGGACATTGAAAAAGACAAAAAATTAAACCCTCAACCATTTATTAAAGACAAATACTCAAGGATAAGGTTAAAAGACAGGTCACACAGGTATTTGAACATAAGGCTATCTGATTTCAAGTATTCTTTCCATTATACTGCTTTCATGGCTTTTCTCTAGGCCAGTTTCTTTTACTATAAAATGAAGAGACTCATCTTGGTGTTAAAACTTGTAGCCACAGTATCCTTTGTTAAAAAAGCAACTGTTTCTGTGGAAGCTCAATAACAGATGAGAAAATGAAGCTCTTAGAGTTGAAGCTGTAGGGTGGAGAGCCAGGGATGTGGAACTTCCCTGCTCAGTCTTAAATGGTTTCTGGGAAGGTTCTCTGAATCCTTAGAACACAGGGTTAGATGATCTTTAACATTCTTTGACTTTATTAAAAAATAAGCCTTTTAATTTATCAGGCAGCTGATTGACTCTGCTGTTAAAAACAATCATTTGCTACCAAAGTAGGAAGATGACAGAAAAAGTCATCTTTTGGAATTCCGCTAGAGGAATGTGTAAGTAGGTTAGGAAGCAGCTTTCTTAGCCAATATCCCCTGTGGAATAATATATGATGCTTTTAAGTTAGAAAAGCAGAAACAGGTCTTAATGATCAATTTCTATAGAAAAATCTAACAATTACTAACTATATTATCTTCCTCTTTTTAAAATTTTTTAAAAGTTGTAGTTGGACACGATACCTTTTATTTATTAATTAATTTGTTTGTTTATTTATTTGTGGTGCTGAGGATTGAACCCAGCACCTTGCACGTGGCTAGGCGAGCACTCTACTGCTGAGCCACAACCCCAGCCCTTATCTTCCTCCTTTATATATGTATTTTTTGTTGTAGATGGATACAATACCTTTATTTATTTATTTTTATGTAGTTCTAAGGAACACATGCTAGGCAAGTGTTCTACCACTGAGCTACAACCCCATCTTCTTATATCCACATAATGTTTTTCTCTCTTTAAAAAGCATTTCTTTTTCATTAGATAGTGGGGTGAGACTCTGCATTATCAATGGATGAGTAAGTGTACACTGTGAAAGTGTGCACAGAAGTGATGAACTCTTCTGTTCATCTACTCAGTGGTAGATGCAGGATTCTTTCCACAGTTAGCAACAGAAGCACAGCACAATATTATCTCCAGTTTTTTTTTCTTTTTAATATATATTTTTTTTAGTTATAGACAGACACAATACCTTTATTTTATTTTTATGTGGTGCAGAGGACTGAACCTAGTGCCTTCCATAAGAAAGGCAAGCACTCTCCCACTGAGTAACAACCCCAGCAGTATCTCCAGGTTTTTTAGGAACTTTCTTTTAAATAAGACATTAAACACTTCCCCCATAATCCCCAATCACAAAATAGATTGCAGAAACACTTGCTCACTCTTGATTTGAAGTGGCTGTACCTTGGTGACTGGATCAAATGTATAGTTGCCTTGTGTTGGTGTCAGGTTCATATTCAGCACAACTTTTGGCATGTGAACTGTCACTGTAATTCCTTCAATAGTTTTTCCCATATTTTGCTTTGGTCCAATTGTTATATCAAATCTGCCACAAGAACTGTTCTCCTTAAAGCTGATACTGTGTTTCACATACACTGGTATTGCCACTAGACTAAAAAGAGAAAAAGACAGGAAAGCACAATACACACAATTAATGGTGTGGGGCAGCTCCAGAAATGGACTGAAAAAAACTTCAGTCCAGAGTATTCTACCCTGCCTCCAACTCCACAATAGGGCTTTATACCTCTAGAACTGCAGATGCTATATCTGCACAAGGGAGAGTTGGATACAACATGTTTTTATACCAGTGTGCTAGAAACTGAGTTCTCATCTGTAAGTATACAAACCAAGACAGAAACCTGAAGTTTAATTATTGTATAAATAATTTAGGCAAATGGTTCTAGTTTAAAAAAAAATAAATTAAGAGACCACTGAAAAATAATTTGAAGTTATACATACCAAAACAGTTCCTAAGTGACAAGAGTCAAGAAACAATTCCTCTGCCTTTAAGTCTTACATTACCCAAATGCTTCTAACTATATATACATATACATGTATACATACATATTACATATGTGTGTGTGTGTGTGTGTGTGTGTGTGTATCCCCCAGACCTGGGGATTGAACCCAGTGCCTCACACAGGATAGGCAAGTTCTCCACTACTGAACACTAATCCCTAGCCCCTGCTATGCTTTTTCTTTTTTTGCTTCAATGGGGACCAAACTCAAGGGTGCTCTACCACTGAGCTGTATCCCCAGCCCTTTTCATTTTTAAATTTTGAGATAGGGTCTCACTAAGTTACCCAAGCTTGCCTTGAACTTGGAATCTTCCTGCCTCAGCCTCCCAAGTTACTGGGATTTTACAGAGATGTACCACTAGGCTTGGCTTCAGCCCCTCCTTCTCATATTTTCAAAGGACAAACTAACTACAACCTATAATGTTAAATTAAAATTAATGTTAATTTAAAATTCAGTTCAGACAGCAAAGGAATCAACAATGTGAAGAGAGAGCCTATAGAATGAGAGAGAATTTTTGCCACCTGCACCTCAGAGCCTTAATCTCTAGGATACAAAAAGAACTTAAAAAACTCAACACCAAAGAAACAAATAACCCAATCAACAAATGGTCAAAGGAACTGAACAGACACTTTACACAAGAAATACGAATGGTCAACAAATATATGAAAAAATGTTCAACATCTCTAGCAATTAGAGAAATGCAAATTAAAACTACACTGAGATTCTCATTCCAGTCAGAATGACAATTATCAAGAAAACAAGTAACAGTAAATGTTGGCGAGGATTTGGGGGAAAAGGTACACTCACGTTGCTAGTGGGACTGCAAGTTGGTGCAACCACTCTGGAAAGCAGTATGGAGATTACTCAGAAAACTTGGAATGGAACCACCATTTGACCCAGTTATTCCACTCCTCAGTCTATACCCAAAGTACTTAAAATCAGCATACTGCAGTAATGAAGCCACATCAATGTTTACAACAGGCAATTCACAATAGCTAAGCTATGTAACTAACCTAGGGCCCGTCAACAGATGAACAGATAAAGAAAATGTGGTATATATACACAATAGAATATTACTCAGCCATAAAAAAGAATAATTTCATGACTTTTGCTGGAAAATGGATGGATCTGGAGAGTATCATGCTAAATGAAATAACCCAATCCCCCCAAATCAAAGGCTGAATGTTCTCTCTGATAACACGCACTTTTATTGTGTGTTAGCAACTCTCTGATATGCAGTTGCTAACACACAATAAAAGTAGGGGGAGGAAAGAATGGACATTCAGTGAGTAGACAAAGGAGAATGAAGGGAAGAAAGAGGGTACGAAAATAGGAAAGAGAATACAATAAATCAGACATAAATTTCCTATGTTCATATATGAATACAGCACCAGTGAAAGTCTACATCATGTACAACCACAAGACTGGGATCCTAATTAAAATAAGTTATATTCCATGTATGTATGTCAAACTATACTCGTCAGGTATATCTGACAGAGATAAAAAAAATAAAGAACAAATGAAAAATAAATAAATAAAATTCAGTGCACAGAAGGATGACTTGAAGTTGGTAAGTTGGGGAGTAGCTTGAGAAGGGCTTGTCTCCTCTTAGTCACTAAGTCATGGTAAAATTATGGCACTAGTTCATGATTTTTCCCAGGTTTCACATGATCCAAAATGCCTGCTCTTGGCTACGGATTTTACTATAGTCTTATTTATTTTTTACACTCTTATATTCAAAGTACTCTGGTTATTTTTTTTAGGCACATATTTTCACCAGTTCTCATTGGGTCTCCTGGTGAGCCATAGTCAAAGCGAGCAAGAATAAACTCAAACATCAAACTGTCAGAATGAAACAGGGAAAGCAGAGTTCTATTCAGTACACTGATATGTGATGGCAGATTTTGGTTAATGTATCAACATACTTTTGTGAGCTGACACGATATGATATGAGTCGGAAATTTCCATCTGGAGGGATAAATGACAAAACTCGTTCAGATTCCCAACGCTTGAATCGGATGCAGGGGTGGAAACTGACATCATCTAGAAGCCTTGGGTTCTGCCAAGAAAATAGAAGAACCATACACACAGAATATAATGAGTATGGCCATGCTACTCAGATATTATGAGAAATTAGTATGCTCCTTAAAAAAACAAAAAGCAGTCAGTATTATAACAGTTTATTATAACCACATCAACACAACTTTATAGCTTTACAGTTTATAATTTTATATATATTACTTGAAATCTAATAACTATGAGGGAGAAAAAGCAATTATTATTTCCTTCCCATAGCTGAAAAAAACAGAGTTTCAAAGAATTTAAGGTCATCCAGGTACAGTGCTATCTATACACCTATAATCCCAGATACTTGGGAGGCTGACACAGGAGGATTACAAATTCAATGACAGCCTTAGAACTTAATGAGATCCTGTCTCAAAAAGTAAAAAGAGCCAAGGATGTAGCTCAGTAGTAGATCACCCCTAGGTTTAATACCCAGTACTGCTCCTCTTCCCCAAAAAACTCATGGAGAAATTGGTGACAAAACAGTACCAGAACTCAATTGTCTTACTTGTTAGCAGTGTGTCATGCTGAATCTAAAGTGATACAAAAGACCAGTGCCTGTTTATATCAGCAAAACAAATAATTATTCAGTAAAAGTAACACTGCAAATTTGCAGAAGCCATCAGCTAATTTTAAGCCATTTCTAGCACACTTAGGTAAAAACCTCTCTTCTTCAGCCTTTCCATAAAGGCTATCTATACTCATCATCTACTGTATTAGGACATTGTGCTAGGAATATTTGAGATAATCTTCTACAACCTAAAATACAAACTTATCTCAGTATTTATTACTTAGTACTTCATATGAATTAGGCACACAAGAGGCTACAGAACAGGACAACAAAACTTACCATGAAAGAGAGAGAGAGATCGGGCATTCCAGATAGCTTAATGCAAGCATCAATGACTCCTTGAATTTCTGCAAAGACTGTAGATCCTGAAGAAAGAAAGAAAAGGGTGATGATATCAATGGACTCTGGGTCTTTACTGGAGCTGTCACTATATCTAAAGTAATGGGAATACACCCTGGGTGTCAGACTTAACCAAAGCTTTGCATCCTTATAAACACGTCAGAGGTTCCATTACATCAATCCAGACAGCTTTTTCAGTGAGTACTTTGTCTGTACCTAACTGGGTGGAATATAATTCTAAGGAATTCTATGGAAGAATCAAACCTGTCTCCTTTATAGAGTCAAAAAAAAAATTGTAGATCAGAATTCATGATGCCTTACTTTAAGCCAGTTACCCTCTATTCCTCTCCCTCATGCTATGTATTCATTTTAATATTTATTGTACACCTGCTGTATTCCATACTTTTTTTTCTTTTGTTACCAAGGGGCACTTAACCATTGAGCTACATCCCCAATCCTCCCCCCCACTTTTTGTAGTTGTAGATGGATAGAATGCCTGTATTTTATTTATTTTTAATTTTTATGTGGTGCTGAGGATGGAACTCAGTGCCTCATGCATGCTTCGCAAGCACTCTTCCACTGAGTTATAGCCCCAGCCCGACATCCCCAACCCTTTTTATTTTATATTTTGAGATAGGGCCTTGCTAAATTGCTTAGGGCTTTGCTACTTTGCTGAGGTTGGCCTCAAACTTGTGATCCTCCTGCCTCAGCCTCCCTATGCCGGGCAAGTACTCTACCACTGAGCTACAACCATAGCCCTATAGTCAATCTTTTAAGGCTCCTGGATATAAGTTCAAAATATTTTAAATATAATTTAAAAATTAGGCAGGTTTCTTATGAAATGGACTAAACTACCTGTTAACTTTTAAGGACGAGGGCATGATCCATTATTCTGTAAAATGAACTATTGTAATGAATTCTCCCCGGCTCAAACCCCTGCTGGGATCAAATCCAGGGCTTTGTGTATGCCAGGCAAGTACTCTACCCCAAAGCCATATCCCCAGCCCAATACCTACAGAAATTTCTGTGTATCTTTTACTCTTAACCCATTATGTCCACTGTCCTATATATATGTAGAAAAATTTTATAGGACACCTATAACACTGATCAATTAAAGTTTATATAGGTATCCTATATATAGTACAATGGAACATATTAATGTTTAATGGAAGGGAATTCATGAAGAAAAGATATTGGCTATAATTCACAATGAGTCATTATCACAATATCAACTAGGTGTGCCACCTTGAATAGGTCGTCTAAGTCTGTGAGCCTCAGTTTCCTTATGTATAAATTGTGAGGATAGGAGGTATTTTTAATAAATAAATTTTATGATTCTAACACAGTACCACTGTTTTATCTTGCTAAAAAATAATCAGAGCTGGGCGTGGTAGCACATGCCTACAATCCCAGTGACTTGAGAGGCTGAGCAAGGACAATTCTAAGTTTGAGGCTGGCCTGAGCAACTTGGTGAGACCCAAAGCAACACAGTGAGACTGTGTCTCAAATAAAAAAATTAAAAGGGCTGGCAATGTAGCTTAGTGGTAAAGTGCCCTTGGGTTCAATCCCTAGTACAATCAATCAATCAATAATCAGAAAAGGGGTTTTACACAGGAGGATTACAAGTTCAAGGCTGGTCTGGGCGACTTAATGAGACCCTGTCTCAAAATACAATAATAATAAGGGCTGGAGATGTACCTCAGTGGTAGAATGGTTGCTTAGCATGTGTGAGGCCCTGAGTTCAATTCCTAGTTCAATTCTTGTTATTGTAAACAATAACAAGAAAAAAACCCAAACAAAAATGGGGGTGGGGGGGATGGTTCCTTTAACAGATATACTGCACAGAAATTAAGAGCAAAAGTACACAACACAGTCGGTATACAATAAATGTTAAAATGAATACATAGCATGAGGGAGAGGTGAGGTATACAGGATAACTGGCTTAAAGTAAGGCATCATGAATTCTGATTTACAAATGTTTGGCAGATCTAAACTAGTGGTTATGATAATTATATGTAACCTCTGGGTAAAATAAACAGATTTATAAATCATTAGAAAACAAATGCCTTTCTGCTGAAACCACACTGCCAAGGGACTTCAATTTTCTATTCAGCTTGTGTCAGCTAAACTGTTTTTTCCCTATAAGGCCATGTGCACACAATTACCTGATTTATCTATAATTGCATCTATTTCTTCAATGACATCAAAATAGGCTTCATTGTTTGTGTATTTTACTCCTGCCCGGCGCCATGGAATGTTGGACAGCTGCCCAGTGGGGAGTGTGTCCCCAACATTACTACTGCCTAGAAATGGGAAAAGGAGAATACAAAGTGGATGTGTAAAATGGTCATCAGAAAAGTTATTATTTGAAAGAAGAAAATGAATGCTTTTGCTGCTTTTTCAATGCTGGATTTTTCTTCATGGTCTCCAGGATTGTCAAACACATATCCTTACCAACATTATCAAATTTCCAGAAGACAGAAATAGGCCATGTGGTCCTTCGTCTACATGCCAAACAAGGATAAATGCATTCACTTATCTTTTGCATCCTGTGTGTTAGCAGTAACCTAGCTAATTCCAGTAGTCCAACAATGATCTCACCCTGCTGCTACAGAGCAAACAAGAGGAAAACCTTCAGTTGAAAAATGTCTCCACTGAGAATACAGTGATAACTCAGTTCTTTCGTATTCAGCTGAATTCTATATGAGACAATGCGAAGCAGGACTCAGCGGAGTACATGGATGAATATACTCTAGTATTTCCCATTCAGCTACAATATGGGTAATGTTCAATATTTGGCTAATTTCCTGGTAAATTATGTTGAAAACAAAATTATCAAAAACACATATCCTTGAACTGTGACTTATTTAACTTTTGGTTAATACTTCTAATTTAAAAGTAGTATATGCTTTATTAAAAAAAAGTTCAGAAAAGTGAATTTTAAATAAATCAGTCTATCTTCTTACTGCCAAAATCAACTATATTAACATTTCTTTAGACATTTCCCCCACAAGTAGGTTGCAGTATTATGTTTCTATTTTGATTTTTTTGCTTTGATTTTAAAATACAGTTGCAATCATACTGTATTTACAGATGTATAGTCAATTTATGATTGATATTTCTGCAGCCAACATGTTGCCTTCAGAAGATTTTCTGAAAAACAGTGCTCCAATCATGTTATTTTTCTGCTTGAAACTCCTCAATTTTCCCCCACTTGCTTTATGAGAAAAGCAAACTATTTAGCACTATAGGTGAAGCTCAGTGGTAGAACACTTGCCTAGCACAAGGCCTTGGGTTCAGTCTCTAGTATCACAAACTAAAAAGACAAAACAAAACAAAACACAGCTAAATATTTAACCCAGCATTCAAGGACTTTCCAAACTTATTTCTCACTCAACTGAAAATATAGCTCTGCTTCTGTTAAAGGAGCAGATACAACTCAAAGTTTTTCACTTATTTTGTTTTTCCTCATATAGTTCCATCTATGAAGAATGATCTTATTCTCCTTTCTCTTTCTCTCTTTTTCGTACTGAGAATCAAACCACTGAGCCACATCCCCAACCCTTTTTATTTTTTTATATTGAGACAGGGTCTCACTAAATTGCTTAGGGCCTTTTTAAGTTAATTAAGGCTGGTCTTGAACTCATGGTCCTCCCTGCTCAGCCTTCCAAGTCACCTGTGCCATCTCTTTCTATACTTCACTGATTCTCTAGGGGTACCAACTACAGTTCTTAAAGGATACTCTCATCCACTGAAGCATTATTTTAAACTTTATAATATACTGCCTTATGAATCTGTATTTTTACATTTTGTCTTTTAATGTTTTTCTGACGATAAAATGCATGTTCATTTAGGAAAGTTAAAAAGTACAAATCACCAGGCATAATGTTGCATGCCTGTTAATATCAGCAACTTGGAAGGCTGACGCAGAAGGACCCCAAGTTCAAGGTCAGTCTTGGCAACTTAGAGAGAACCTGTCTCAAAACATAAAAAGTGCCATTCTGACAGGAGATGAAATTAGAGTAGTTTTAATTTGCATTCTTCTAATTGCTAGAGATGATAAACATTTTTTCATATATTTGTTGATTGATGGTACATTCTTTTCTGAGAAGTGTCTGTTCAGGTCCCTGGCTCATTTATTGATAGGGTTATTTGTTTTTTTTTGATTCTTAGCTTTTTGAGTTCTTTATATACTCTAGAGATTAGTGCTCTATCTGATGTGTGAGAGGTAAAGATCTGCTCCCAAGATGTAGGCTCTCTATTCACCTCACAGATTGTTCCTTTTGCTGAGAAGAAACTTTTTAGTTTGAATCCATCCCATTTATTGATTCTTGATTTTACTTTTTGCACTACAAGAATCTTATTAAGGAAATTGGGGCCTAATACGACATGATGAAGATGGGGCCTACTTTTTCTTCTATTAGATGCAGGGTCTCTGGTTTAATTCCTAAGTCCTTGATCCACTTTGAGTTGAGTTTTGTGCATGGTGAGAGACAGAAGTTTAATTTCATTTTGTTGCATATGGATTTCCAGTTATTATGAAAACAAAAAACAATAAGTGTTGGCGAGGATATGGGGAAAAAGGTACACTCAAATATTGCTGGTAGGACTGCAAATTGATGCAGCCAATATGGAAAGCAGTATGGAGATTCCTTGGAAAGCTAGGAATGGAACCATCATTTGACAGCTATTCCTCTCCTTGGTCTATACCCAAAGGACTTAAAAACAGCATACTACAGGGACACAGCCACATCAATGTTTATAGCAACACAATTCACAACAGCTAAACTATAGAACCAATCTAGATGCCCTTCAGTAGATGAATGGATTAAAAAAAGTGGCATATATACACAATGGAATATTACTCAGCAATAAAAGGGAATAAAATCATGGCATTTGCAGGTAAATGGACAGAGTTGGAGAAGATAATACTAAGTGAAGTCAGCCAATCCCCCAAAAACAAATGTTGAATGTTTTCTCTGATATAAGGAAACTGATTCATAGTGGAGTAGGGAGGGGGAGCATGGGAGGAATAGAGGAACTCCAGATAGGACAGAGGGATGGGAGGGGGAAAGGAAGGGGCGGGGGTTAGAAATGATGGTGGAATGTGATGAACATCATTATCCAAAGTACATGTATGAAGACACAAATTGGTATGAATATACTTTATATAAACCAGAGATATGAAAAATTGTGCTGTATATGTGTAATATGAATTGTAAAGCATTCTGCTGTCATATACATATAAAAAATTAATTAAAAAAACCGATTTCAATACAAAATGTGATACAAGTAAAAAACAAATCAAAACAAAACAACAACAACAACAAAAAAAAAACATAAAAAAACCTGGGCATGTATCTCAGAGGTATTCTTTATACTTTCATTTATTTTGGTAGTGCTGGGATTGAACCCAGGCCTCCACCACTAAGTGATATTCCTGGCCCCTATAATGCTATTCTAAATATTAAAATGCCAGTCAATAAGTAGGCTAAATTCTCTTTTAAGTGGCCACATATACTGGCTTTTTTTAAAGGACTAACTAGGATAATTTATTCAATCTTATTTACTGCTAAATAATATTATTGTGGTTTTGCAGAAAACCCTACATAACAAGAGAATAAAACCAGAAGTTCTTTATCATTTAAGACCTAGACTCTTTCAATAAAGAGAAATATATATCCATTTTAACATTACAGTCATTTTAATTTTGGACATACTGGACTATCTTAGTCTGTCAGATCATAAGCAACAATGAGTTGTTCATAACATTTTAATTGCTCAGTTCCTAGTAGAGTATGTTTTTATCTTACCTGTAATAGAGTTGACAACAGAACGTAGAATTGTTGGTGGTTTAATCAGTTCTTTCAAAATGTTAGACTCTGTTGCCAGTGGAAATCCGTTGTCTAACATTTCTTCCAAGAGCTCATATACTATGACCACATTATCCTTAATTGCAGCCTCCGAACACTCACCAAAGTAGTCCTAGCAAAATATTCATAATATTCCACAACAGAAGGCATGAAGGCTTGTTAAATACTTTTATGTTCTGAAAAATAAACTTACAGTACCATAACTCATTGTTTAAGAAGTCAGATATAAAGAGAATAGGAACAAAAACAAAAACAAACCCTCTCCATAATCCAAACAATATTCCTCAGTATTTTCTTTTTTAAAAAATATTTATTTTTTAGTTGTAGTTGGATACAATACCTTTATTTTGTTTATTTATTTTTATGTGGTGCTAAGGATCGAACTCAGGGCCTCGCATGTGCTAGGTGAGCACTCTACCGCTGAGCCACAACACCAGCCCCTCTCAGTATTTTCTTAATATTTTTAGATTGAATTCCATTCCATGTTACTCCCCAAAATACTGAAATGTTAAACTGGAAGGTCGGTTATGAACTTCATTATCCCTGATTAACCTACTCCAAAACACACAGGTAAGTTTTAAATTATATGGTATATTCAGCCACATGAGTAAAATCAATGAAATGTGAATATGGAAGAGTTCATAACAATAAAAATTTGGGGACCATCCAGAGAACAGTATGTGGAAGACATTATTGTTTCCTGATGATTTATTTTATAAAACATATAAAAACAGAGAACAGAGGAGCTGTGTGTGCCACTTTATACTCTATAGAAAAGGGTTTATGAATGTATGCTTAATTTAAAAGAGGAAACATACCAGCCATTAAAAGCTGGGTAATTAAAAAATATAATCATGTGTTCTCCTCCAACTATCTTGTGTAATTTAAGTTAGAAAGGTTTGAGGAGAGCCAACCTGAAAAGTGTCAGCAACTCGATGTAGGAACTCAATAACAAAGAGAGGTGGCACTTCAGTCTGTATGACAGACACAAAGAAGAGCTTATCCCGGTAGATACTGATGAGGTAGTGGTGAGGTGTTGAAATGACAGGTGGTACATTTTCAACATCAGCAGCTTTCTCTTGAGCTTCAAAGAAATAATCACAGACAGATTGGCTCACAACACTCTTCCAGTGCTTCTCTAGAAATATGTCACCGGAACAGTTTATGAGAAACAGACTGTGGATCATTTTCTGTGGGGAAAAAAGGGTTTAAATTTATTATATCAAAAAATATCCTTGTAGTGCCCCAGCACAAAAAACAGACAAAGGTAATACAAGAAACTATAGACCAATATCACTTCAGAGTACAGATATAAAAGTCCTTGACAAGATATTAGTAAACTGAATTCAGCAATATATGTAAATAAAACGGGATTGATTCTAAGAACACAAGGTTGGTTTAACATAGGAAAGCCAACAAACGTAAAATATTAATAAAAGATTAAAACAAGTAATTTCAAAAGGTACAGAAAAAACATGTGACAAGACCCAACGCCCTTTTATGAAAAAAAAATGCTTACGATAGGAATAGAAGGAAACTTTCTCAATCCAATAATGTCATCAATTATAACTTCACAGTTAACATCATATTTAATGGTCAAAGATCAAAAGATTCTCCTTTAAAACCAAGAACAAACAAGGATGTCCATTCTCACTACTTTTATTCAGTTTGGTACCAGAGATTCTAGCCAGGAAAATTAAGAAAGAAAATCTGAACAAAAGCATTCACTGGATTGTGTATTATGGTGGTTGTGCAGGGTGGTACCAAGGGTTGAACCCAATGGTGTTTAATCACTAAGTCACTCCCCAACCCTTTTTATTTTGAGTCAGGGTCTCACTAAATTGCTTAGGGCCTTGCTAAGTTGGTGAGGTTGATCTCAAATTTGTGATCCTTCTGCTTCAACTTCCCTAGTTACTGGGATTACAGGCGGGTGCCACCACATCTGGTTCACTGGAAAGGAAGAAGTAAAACTATCTCTATTTGCCGAAGACATCATATGTAGAAAACCCTAAGGAATCCACAAATAAAACAAAACTAATAGAGTTAACAAGTGAGTTTAGTAAGGTTACAAATATTAAAAAAAATCAATACACTTACAATAAATAATCTGAAAATAATTTCATTTACAATAGCCTTGAAAAAAATTCAAATACCGAGGAAATAAATTTCACAAAAAAGTAGAAGTCTTGTATACTAAACGCTCCAAAACATCACTGAAAGAAATCAAGAAATCTAAAATGTGGTAAAACATTAAGACAGTACTGTAAAGATGGCAATACTCCCCAAATTGACAATGTATTCAATGTAGTCCCTATTAAAATCCTTGCTGCCATTTAAAAAAAAATTTTTGGGGGTGAAAATTAGTAAGCTAACCCCAAAATTCATATGGAAATGAAAGAGATCAAAACAGCCAGAACTTTGGGTGTAGTAGTGCTCATGCCTATAATCCCAGAGGTTCTGGAGGCTGAGACAGGAGGATTGCAAGTTTGAGGCTATTTTCAGCAACTTAGCAGTTTAGTGAGACCCTGTATCAAAATAGAAAATAAAAAAAGGGTTGGGGATGTGACTCAGTGGTTAAGTGCCCTGGGTTCAATCCCTGGTGCCAAACAAAACAAAAATATACAAACAACAACAACAAAAAAACCCCAACAATACTGAAGAAAAAGTTGAAGAACTCATGCTACCAATTTCAAAACTTACTATAAAATTAATGCATGATATTGATACAAGGATAGATTTATATATCAATGGAACAGAAGTGAGAACTCCAAAATTAACCCTTACATTCATGGACAACTGATTTTCAACAAGGTGCTAAGGCTGTTCAGTTGGAGAGAGAATAGTCTTTTTATTAAATGGTGCTGGGAAAATTGAATTCACACACAGGAAAAGAACAAAATTGTATCTCTACCTTACAATGTACACAAAAAGCAACAAAAAATGTATTGAAGCTCTAAATATAAGTGTTAAACCTACAAAACAATTAGGAAACACATGTATCCATCTTTAAACTGTAGAATTAGACAATGCTTTTTTTTTTTTTTTTAAGAGATGACACTAAAGTATAAAAGAAAGAAAAAAGTATATAATCTGGACTTCATCAAAATTAAACTTTTGTGCTTTTCTAAAGGACATTATCAAGAATGTGAAAAGGCAACCCAGAGAATGAAAAAGAATATTTAAAACCATATATCTCATAAGGGACTACTCTGCAGGATATATAATAACTCTTATAATGTAATATTAAAGAGAGAATCCAATTTTTTAAAAATGGATAAATGATAGACATTTCTCCGAAGAAAATAAATACACAATTGGCCACATGTAGAGATGTGTAATACCATAAGTCATTAGGGAAATGCAAGTCAAAATCACAATAAGATAATATTTCATATCCTTTTAAGCTAGCTTTAATAGTAATAATAAAGAAGACAGATAATGGGCTGGGGTTGTGGCTCAATGGCAAAGCGCTCACCTAGCACATGCAAGGCCTTGGGTTTGATCCTCAGCACCACATAAAAATAAATAAATGTATTGTGCCCAACTACAAGTAAAAAATAAATATTAAAAAAAGATAATAACAATTGTTAACAAGATGGAGAGAAACTGGAACCCTTAAAACATTGCTGGTAGGAATGTAAAATGTTACAGATGTTGTGGAAAGCAGTTTGGATTCTTCAAAAAGTTAAATATACTCACTGCATGAATCAAAAATTCTATTTCTATATATATATCTAAGAGAATTGAAAGGACATGTCCACACAAAAATTTGGACATGAATGTTCAAAGAAACATTATTCACAATAACCAAAAAGGGGAAATGATCCAAATGTGCATCAACTAGTGAATGGATAAACTAAAAGTGGAATATTTACACAATGGAATATTATTCAGCTATAAAAAGGAATTAAGTACTTACACATACTACAATATGGATAACCTGTGAAAGAATCCAGACACGAAAAGTCACATACTGTATGATTCCATTTGCAGGAAAAGTTCAGAATAGGTAAATACATTCAGACATAAAGTAAGTTGATGGTTTCTAGGATGGGTAGAGGGGGAAGGTATGGGGAGTTATGATAATGGATTTGGCATTTCTTTTTTTGGTGATAAAAACATTCTGGAATTAGGATGTTGGAAAAACTTTGTGACTATGCTAAGAACTACAAAATTGTATACTTTAAAATAATGAGTTTTACAGTATATTAATTATATCTTGATTCTCAAAAAAATAGTCTTAATTACTTCTGGCACAAATGCACACCAAAATATGTGTAAAAACATATTTGTAATAGTGAAAATCTGCTACTCAAATATTAATAAAAATAAATTGAAAAATATTTATAAAATATTATATAGCAATAAAACGGAATAAACGATTGCTACCTGAAAATATAGAAGAATTTTACAAACACAATGTTGAAGAAAACCAGATATAAAATAATATAAATGTCATAGTTCCATATATATGTTGTCTTATAACAGGAAAAACTAATCAATAGCATAAGAAATCAAACGGTTTCCTTTTTGAAAAACAATCAGGTAGTGACTGATAGGGGGACAAGGCTAATTTTCTAAAGTACTGGTAATGTTTTAACTCTTGACCTGGATGATGTTTATAAGTTATTTTCATTTTGTGATAATTTGTTGTGCTTTACATTATGATTTGTATAATTTTCTGATTTATTTATGCTTCAAGTAAAAGTGTATTGCCCATTTAGTATGGAAAATATGGTCTATTTGCCGAAAATTTTTCTTTTCTGTTTACTTCTATCTTTTGTAGGATAAGCATCAGAATCAGGTGTTTAGCCCAGTGGTCAATCATTCAAAGTAATAGTATTGTATGTTAAATGCTACCAAATATGAAAAAATTTTAAATTTATAAATACAGTTCTTATGCATGAAGATAAATTCAGAAGAGGAAAGGAAATTCAGAATCGATGAATTTAATTCTGTAGATACAGAAAACAGTGACATCAACCTGACCAATTCTTTTCAGAGGAAATGATTTATTTTATGAAAGCAGGTGACATTTAAAGACTATCTGGTTATGATTTCCCCTTTGTATTTGACACATGTTCAACAGTTGCCAAGTAAATAATATTGATATATTTTAGCAATTACTGTACTAATAAACTAAAAACACTAGTAATAGTTTAGTGTTCCTGTATATCAGAAACAACAATAACAAAAATGTACCTTTGTTCAAAGCCATTTCTGTTGGGAGTCTCCTTGAGAACTCCCCGGGCCTTTCAAACATGGCGGTGGGCAAATTGCCAGTGGGTGGCTAGAACTTCCCGGGCCTTTCAGATAAGGAGCCCCTAATGCAACATGGCGGTTGGCAAGTTGCCAGTGGGCGGATAACAAGTTGTTTTGAAAACCTTCTAACTGGCCCTCCTGTCTTCCGTACTCATGGATAGTTTGTACTCATGGATAGTTCGTGCCCCCCATGAATCTTATGCAGGGCGGATGTGCGGGCACCGTAGGTGATGACCTGACCTTCACTATGATTGGCCCTGGGAGCTTCCTGGTTTAAGATAACTGACTCTCACTTTCTATATAAGCTAGCAGCAGTTTGCAATAAAGTGCTTCATCTTTGTCACTGCTGTCTGTGTGTGTGCATTTTAATCTCCAACGACGAACCTTGGCCTTTCAATTTCTATTTAGTCAAGCAATTAACTTGAGTTGGTAGCAATAAATTCTAACTTCAGGGTTGGGAACTGGGAAATTTGTCTATTTTATCTAGTCAACTGTTTTGCTTAGCATGTTTGCTTTGTGTCAGCCTTACATTTCTGTTTGAATGTTAATATTATAAGTTCTATTGGAATATATAGACTTGCTATATAGAACCTGGTGACTTTATAACCTTAGCTGATAAAACTTTTTTTTTTTTTGATACTGGGGATTGAACCCAAAGGCACTTAACCACATCTCCAGCCCCTTTTTATTTTGAGACAGAGTCTTGCTAGGTTGAGTTGCTGAGACTGGCTTAGAACTTGCAATTGTCCTACTTCAGCTTTGCAAGCTCCTGGGATAGCAGGTGGGCACCACCATGCCTGGTTTGGCTGATAAACTTAATTTTTAAAATGCAGCAGGAATATCCGGTGACAAAATATGTAACCAAACTTATATTATTTCACCTTTTTCTTGTAACAAAATCTAATAAAATGTGGACCCAGATTTGAGT